TTACCTAGTCAGTAGATGTTTTCTGGGAGAATTCAAACTACTGTGCGAGACAGCACTTTTTCATGGAGGACAGTCTCTCAAGGTGCACAAGAAAACACAAAGCCAAAGTCAGAGGATGAACAGAGAAACCCAAAGAGAACTTTCTCCAGCACAGTCCCTGGCACTAAAGGCCCAAGCAGCCCCACTCCACCCTTTGGCCCTGGAGCAAGACGGGCCCTGGAGCTATGTCTTACATAGTGCCTCTTGGAACTTTCTGCCAAGATCACTGAATGGAATTATTGTTCAGCAATTGCCCAAGCATACAGCTTAACTTTATGAGTTTACATATTGTGTCTTGGTATGATTAATTTTAGTAACTGCCTTTCCTAAACACCTACACCTGAAATTAAAATACTAAAGAGAAGGCATACACAACTCAGTTCCCCAAGGAGCAGATGGGCCCAATCATACCCAGCCATGGACTGCATGAAGCAACAGATTGTGCATCTTTTCACAAATCCTCAAATTAGAAATTTCATAGCATCATGAATTGCAAGATGAAGTCTGTTTTCCTGAGGAGTTTTTGTGCTGACCTGATGCCAGCCTCTAAGCCTCCATCTCTCCGATGGGGTGCTTTGCAAATAAAAAGTGCTTTACAATCTATTTAATTAGCTATTGCGCACAACCATTCTAGCAGTTCAGATGACTGTTATTTGTATTTTATGGTTGCATTAACTTGCTCAAAACATGCCCTGGACAATTTCTTGGTGTCTGATTTCATACCAGGTCAATGGAGCTAGAAACAGTGAGCAAGGCGGGGACCCATATGCAGCATCACATCCCACTTCCTCCTGGACTGCACCACCCATACCACAGTATTAGTAGTGGGCCAGGCACCTGAATGCCCCTTGGCATTTGCATGAGATGGATATATAGGATCTGTCCTTTGACTGACTGCTAATCCCATCAATTAGGAGATGGCTGGCTGAGGGCACCTGTCCAGGTGTCTCTGATCTAAAGAAGAGACACACCTAGTCCAGTGGAGATTGGGGAACTTGCTGAAAGGGCTGGAAACCTCAGTTTCAGGGAGTAGCCTTTCTTAGTGGGTGACTCAGACATGCTTCTGGAAGCTTCTCAAACTGAGAGACAACTGGAGAATAGAATATTTGCCAATACCTAAAATATAGCACTTTTATTTGTTGGAATGATATTCAGAAGTGAAAAACAATGAATTAAATTTACATGAATCAACACAGAAAAAAATCTCAAAAACAATCACTGAGTAAAAACGCAATTTGTAGGACAATTTATATAGTATGGTACCATTTGTGTAAAATAAATTATATGCACATGCATGAAAACCATTATATTTTCTATGTATGCAAGCATATATGTATAAACCATGAAAAAGTGATTTTTGTGCGTATCAGTTTGAATTCTTTCAAGAAAAGGCTCTTCTAAGGCAAAAGTGCATACAAAAAAATATCTTTTTTTCCCCAGTATTTTGGCAATAGTCAACTGGCTAAATTTAAATGTTTTGTTTTGGACACATATATCCAAGTGGATATAAAAATTCATATAGTGTATATTTATATATATTCATATATACCATATTTATTGCATGTAGCATATTTTATATACTGTATATGATAATTTTAAGAGCTAAAATAATATATACTAAATTTATCAGAGTCGTTGTTTTCTGGGGGAATAATTAGAGCTGATTCTCAAAGAGGCCATGCATATAATTAATGATTGATGAAATTATAAAAAGAAAAGAGATTAAACAACAAAATAGAATAGATCAATAATAGTAGCTAACATGTACTGCATCCTTATTCTATGCCAGGCACTCTCTGAAATGCTTTACATATTTTAATTCATTTAATCATCACATGACACCATGAGGTAGGCACTATCATAAAGCCCATTTTGTACAAGAGGTGATCAGTGCCCGGGGGTTACCTTCTCCACCCAAGGCAGACAGATGGCAGGGAGCAGAGGTCGAGGACTGAGCAAGGGGAGCAAGCCAAGATGGAGACTGAGGCGGAGGGCTTTCATCCTGTGTTTGACCAGAATGATCTCAATGGCCCCTTAATCTCTAATCTGACTTTCCAGAAGCCCTGTCACTTTCCAGAAGCCCTGTCAGCTCTCCTGGGAGACAGACCATCCTCTGATGACAGTGCAAAGGTGCCAGAACAGGTACATTACAAGACCTGGCTCTACTTCTAGCAGGAGACCAGGAGGTGCTCATTGACAAGTGCTCGCAGCCTACTCCACTGTCACAAAGAAGCCAGAACAGAGCACACGCGGCTAACAAGACAGAAGGACGTCAACCTCCTAACATTCTGAAGGACTAACTTCGAACATGAGGGATCAAGGTTCATGAATTACTGAATGTTGTAAAGACCAAAAAAAAAAGTTAAACCAGTACTTTCCTTTTTTTTTCTCCAGTGTTTTTCAAAATTTACTCTGAAGATGTTGACCTGGCTTATGTATGTTTTTTCTTTCTCAAGGGAAAGGTTGAAACTTGCAAGGTGCAGCAGCATAAATTTGATTGGTAACTCAAAATACAGTTTTTATCTGACTCAAAAATGTAGACAAAAGAGGATTTCCTTTTTTTCCTTCTTTCTTTTTGTGGCTAGGTTTCAGGTCAAAGTCACTAGCTGTTAGCCACAGCAAACGTGCATCTATTTCCTATCCCTCCCCAAACTTCAAAAAACTGACAGAACTAAACTTTTTTTTTAAAGCGATCAAATTCAAAAGGATGAAGAGAATAGGAAAAATGACAACAGTGGATGAGAGCTTATTATATTAACGGCTTGGAAGAAAGAAGGCAAGTACAGGAGAGCAATGGTTGCATGGAAAAGGGGACACCGAGCAGAAGCAGACCCATCACCCTGCTCAGGACTGGAGGTTTCAACCAGGGGCTCATAAAGGGAGACTGGTTGAAAGTCTGCATGTGAGTTTGGAACTCTGGACCCCCTCTCCTGCTTCACAAAGCCAGGTCCCCACCAGATCCCAATATCTAATTGTGGTAGAAATAGAATCTGAGAGGCCTGAGATGCAGGTGTGTCCAGCACAGCGAGGGTGGAGTCGGGTGGAAGGTAGGATATGGGTCAAAAATGGAACAAAATGAAAATCTCTGCTGGGTGGTGTGAAGCCAGGTCATCTCCAGTTCAATGTGCCCCAGGCAGAATTTTTCTCTGGAAAAACCAGAAGCACCACTGGGCAAAGATCTCCCAGAAGTCACAAGCACAGGATGGAGTGGTGTCTCAGCACAAAGCCAGCCTGTTGCCTGAAAACCTTGCAATAGCCAACAAGCCCCACCCAGGCAGAGGGAGCTCTCCGTGACCTTTCACTCCATGACCTTTCACTCTCCTGCTTTGATAAAAACAGAAAACCAAGGTCATCATGAAAAGTTTCCCACCTGACATTGAGAAGCCAAAGCAAATAAACAAGTGCACGCACAAAGCACAGAGCATGGCTGAAAGAAGCCAAATGCTTTGGGAAGCCAAAGAAAACTATAAAAATAAACAAACATCCCCAGGGAGAGATAAGAGGAAAGTATTGCAGGGATGAAATACAAACAAATTGCTAGGAAAAGAGGCCAGTCAGAGAAGAAGTAATAGCTCTGGAAACTTAAAAATAAAATAGCCAAAAGAAAATGTTTGACAGAAGAGTTAGAAGGTAAGAATTTTTCTAGAAATTAGAGCAAAAGACAGAAAATAAAATAAGGAATCATGGTATCAATCCAAGAAGCCCAGCAATAGGTGTTTCAGAAAGAAACAAACAAAAAAACCCCAATAAATTCTGCTGATGAAATTATGAGAGAACTAATACAAAATCTTCCAGACCTGAAAGGCATGAGTGTCCAAACTGCAGGGGCACAACACAGTGACTAAAAAGCCTCTCACAGAAGCACATCTCCTGAAATTTTAGGAAACGAGGGACAAAACTTTAAAAAAGGAAAAAGCAAACCACATAGCAAATATTAAGAATGAAAATTATTTCTCAACAGCAACACTAGAATCTGGCATCTGAAAGACAATGGAAAAATGCTTTCAACATTCACAGAAATACGGTTATTGTTTTTTTCAACATAAGTTTCTGTAGCCATTTTTCTGTAAAGTTGTAATGATGATAAAGTGAGTTAGTATGGACAACCTGCCGAGAACAGTGCCTGGCACCTACAACGCTCACTGTAGTTGCTAAATACGTAAATAAATGGTGTTCTCTGGAATGAAATCTCTCATGAAAAATGGAAGTGATGCATTTTACTTTATTAATCTTAATTTGATGGCCAAATGACAGAGCTGTTGAAGGATCTGAAGGTCTGCCCCTAGTAGAGTCCCGCTCAACTGCCTGCAGGACAGTGACCAGAATGCATCAGCCAAGCAGGGGCTCTCCTGAGATTGACAGGAAGCTGCTGATAATCATGTCATGACAGCAGGGTAAACTAAGGCTGTCAACTAAGGCAACTGCTACATTGTTCCCTCTTTAATCTGCTCTCATAACAGTGTGCCAGCCTTTGTCAGTAGAACCACCATTGTTCAGTTCTTCAGACCAAAAGGATTGGAGTCATCCCTGGCACCCCCCTTTCCCATGCACCCTACAGCCAATTTATCAGCAAATTTTGGCAGCTGTGCTTTCAAAATACTCCCCACTTCTCACCCTCTGGACAGTGCTGTGACCACAGCCCCCTCCCGCTCCTTCTCAGCCCTGCCTCCTCCCATCTATTCTCACCCCAGGAGCCAGGGGGGCTCTCTCTTGAAATGTCACTCTGTTCTGCATCTCGTGCCTCCCTGTTCTAAACCTCCCCAAGGCTCCATCACTCAGGGTGAAAGCTGAGAGCTCTGATGGGCACAGAGCCCTACACCACCTGTTCCCAGGCACACCTGTGTTCTCTGGCCACACCGCCGGCTGCTCAGCCCTGCTCACTCTGCTTTCGTGCTCTTCTTGTTTCTACAACACATCTGAAGCGCTCCCATCTGAGGGGCTTTGTATGTGTGTTCACATTACCTGCGCTCTTCACCCTCAGATATCCTATGAGTCACTCCCTCGCCTAAATGCAGTTTTTCTCATGTGTGTTTTGGTTCAAACATGCATCCTGACTTTGAATGTTTTACTGTACCACAATCACATCCTACACAATCATTGTGTTCCTCCTCCGACGAAATGTCAGCTCTCTGGGAAAAGTGAATGTGGCCTGTTTTGTTCACTGCTGGGAACCTGCAGCTAGAACTGCACCTCATTAAATATTCATTGAGTGAATAAAATAAGAATATAGGCATATTATTCACAAGATGAAGTTACCAGTAGAGGACACAGCCAGCAAAGCCGCAGCTGCTTGCTGCGGGGGAGGAGGGTGACGGCAGGGCAGGGCAGGGCTGATTCCTTCATAAGCATTCTAGTATTAGCTGACTCTTAAAAACTAATTGTTAGTTTTCCAAAGGAAATTAAGCTTGGGAATGAAGGTGGATGAAGGCTTGGCAGCCTGAACTTCTGGACTTTGCATCAGCATTGCCAGAACGTTCTTCTCTTGGGTTCCTCACAGTGCCCTGGATTCTTCCCTGACCTGCCTGCCAGCTCTCATGCTCCCAACACCAGCGAAGCTCTCTGGACCTAAACTACTGGTGCAGCGGCACGGAGCTGCTCAGCTTGTCGGGGCTGCCATAACAAAGCACCACAGGCCGGGTGGCTTAGACAACAGGAATGTGTTTTCCTCACAGTCCTGAGGCTGGAAGTCCAAGGCCCAAGCTCTGGCAGGGCTGGCTTCTCCTGGGGCCTCTTGCTGAGGCTCACAGAGATTGGACTTCTCGCTGGCTCTTCACATGGTCTTCTCTTTGTGCTTATGTCTCGATCGGTTCTTCTTAGAAAGACGCCAGTCATACTGGATTCAGGCCTCCCATCTGGGCCCTCATTTCACCCTGATTCAGTCTTTAGAGGCCCAAATACACTCACATTCTGAGACACTGGGGGTCAGCACTTGACCTTGAATGTCAGCCCCACAACACAGAGCAAACCACTGAATCCTGGAGGTTCACCCTGAAGAGAGATGAAGAGGAGGAAGTGGGGGGCATCCAGACTTTGTAAGGACTTCTTTTTTTCCAAAATGCACTTAACCTATCAGAACCCCTTAGAGAGGAAAGGATACATTGTATCGTTCAGAAAATGCCCCCCTAGTGACCTGGAAACACTATTTTCTTGAGAACTTCCGATCTAGAGCAGATTCGATTCTCAAGGTCATGGTACCTGTGCAGGATTTCTGAAAATACAAAAGTGAAAGTTTGAATGTCAAAATAATCCCCTCTCTTGGTGACAAGGCAAGAACTGGACAGAAGAGGTAAATCTGTCATCAGCTGAATGTAACTGCTTGGGTGCCACCTCACTGTGTCGCATTTATTTTTTTATTTTTGCCACTAACCACACTGGGTCTTCAAAGTAAGATTTCTCAGGGGCCTGGGGGTTCCTTTTCTCCCTCTCACCCTCTTTGCATCTTCACCGCAGGCCGTTTGGTTAGGAATAGAAGTAGGGAAAGCCAGGAAGGAGGTGTCCCCTTGTAGAACACTAGAACACTGGCAGACCACGGTTGGGGAATAACAAAAATCAAACTTGGCAAAAAATGGCTTTTCAGTATATTGAAAAGAGGATTGAATCCACCACGGACCAAGAAATCCCCTCATCAAATCCAATCTTGATTTTTACCTATGAACTGATTAGTCCCACCTGTCACTCAGCCGTTTTATCTCCCAGGTTCAGCGTAGGAGCAATTTTGCTGAGATTTGTCAATTTGGTGTCAGTCCACCGAGACCAGAATACTATTCAAGGTGGTTAAGAATAAAAAAGAGAGACACTTAAATGCATTTTATATTGCTATTAGTAGATATTTAAATCACGTTTTAAGAGCCTCAACATTTTGAAGAAATTACAGATTATTCTACAGCAACAATGCAAAGATAATTATAAAGTCCCAGCACTGGCACTTAATAAAACTATTTTATTTTTATAGACCTCAAACAAGGTAGGGCTTGATTGGAAACTACAGGTAACTTAAACAGTCCAGAGCTAAAATATTAATACATCTTGGTAGTCCATAAGTCTCCTGAGAGTGAAACAAATTTGGAAAGATTTTGCATGAGCAAATGAATCACTTTGGGGGAAAAAATGGTTTTATGTTTTTCATTAGGACTGTACCTTTGAAAATATTCTTTCACGTCTTACATGTTATCATAATATTTTTCTCTTGTTTGTTCTGCTGATACTGATTATCTTGATTTATGAACACAGCTAGAGAAGGTGGACAAGCCAAATGCCTTTCCATATTAAAGACACTAAGTATGTGAAACCACTGGGCGAGGAAAATAGATATTCCCAACCAAACCCCTGATTATAGTCTTCGTTTCATAAAACAGTAAGGAATACAATGACCTCCCAGTTATCCTCTGTTGGCGAGATATAATCAACACTTTTTCTTTGTCTCCAGCAGAGCATTTATAAATGGTCACCCTATTTAAAGTAAGTTATTACAAAATGAGAAATATTTACAGGACATTCCATAGGAGAGAAAGTTATACCCATAACATTAACATTGTTCTTCACATTGCATAGGGCTATCTCAAGCCCAATTTCTTCCTTACATTTTGAAGATACGGTGGGCTCTTCACACTGGGCTCTCTATGTGAAACTCCCACTAATTCTATTTGTCAGTGCAACAGAATGTAGCCATGTAGAAATATTATTGCTTGGCACTCACTAATTTAACAGAACATTGAGGCTCAAATTTACAAAAGCATATTCTACTTACATGACTTCTCCTTGGAAATTTCATCAAAGGAAGATATGTATCTTATTTTTAATGAGGACTTGTTAAAAGATTCACTATCAATCACTAGCATTTAAGCAATTATTATATGCCAAGCACCCTGCATTTGTTATATATACTAAACTTTACTGTAGCCCCATTTTACAGATGAGAAACTGAGTATAAACATTAGGTATGCTTTGGCTAAAAATATGAGAAAAATGACTAATACGGCTGACACAAATTTATTTTTCTTTCCATAAATAGCAGTGAAATGGTAATGCAGTCCAGAGCTGGGGCACTGGCTCAGTTATGTTATCAAGAACCCACTGCCCTGCCATCTTATCATGTTGCAATATTGCTTCAGGGTTGCTGAGATGGTGGTTGTAGGACTTGGCATCACATTTTCTGTTTGCATCAGTTGAGGCTCTTCTGGAAAACAGACAACTCTGTAGGTATTTTAAACTGCAAAGGGATTTTAGTGCAGGGAATTTAGTGCATGTGGAATTGTGGAGAGGGTAGCCTGGAAGAATGGAAGTCTGAGTAGGTCTTTGATGGTCTGCATTTGCAGGTAACTTGCTGGTAGGAAGCTGTAGGTACCACAGAGAAAGCTGATCGTGATCGCACTGTTCAGCATCCAAGCAGGTGATTCAAAAGAAAATGACCAGAAACCACTGCAAAAATCTCTTCTCTGCTGACGTCCGAGTATCTTCTCACTGCTGTCACAGGACCGATAGAATAGCTTCCACTTCACTTCTGTTTTCCAAATCTCATGTGAGTACTGACTCTAAACTGAAACTCTGATGGCAGGAATTCTGAGAAAGGTGGTTTCCAGGCTTCTAACTCCTATACCACAGGAAGGGCATGGAAGGGAGAAAATGGTATTGAGCTGCCCGTGGACAGTCCAGCACGAGGCTCCAAGGAGCAAGGCAAGGAGAACTCATCAGTGACCTCCATCCCCTTGACTGGGAAAGCAAAAGCTTCTGCTTCTGTTTCATTGCCCAGAGCTGGGTCACCTTATGCCCTCTGGCTAAAAAGGAAGCCAGAAGAACAGGCACTTAGCTTTTCTCACTTTATGGTGGAGGCAAGAAAGATCTTATCTTAAAAGACAGGTGGCAAATTGAGAAGATATGCACATAAGTTTTAAATTAGCAACTAAATTTACAAAGAGAGACAAATATAAAAGCAAAAATCAGAGGTCACAATAGAAAAATGGACAAACATATAAATGTCAAGTTACAGGAGGGAAAGTCCATAAAGTGCATGGAAGCATGTGAAAGAAATTCTCAATACCATAAATAATCAGAAAATTGAGAATTTAAGCTAGGATATGTTGTCACGGTGGGAGTGTAGACTTACATAGCTATTCTCTGGGCATTCTGACAGTACTTAAAGTAGGTATAGATTTCCCTCTGGACTCAGCAATTCTGCTTTCAAGTATACATTCCAAATAAATTATCAAGCAGGGCTATAAGAGAACAGGGATGAATTTGGTTATTACAGCTCTGTTAATAGTGGTGGATAACTAGAGACAATGGATTGATAAAACATGGTGGGTGAATACCACGAAGGACTAGGCAGCAGAAGTGGCATGGAGTGACCCAGCAAATACAGTGCACAATGAAAAATGAGTGAGAAACAGAAAGAGATATAAAACCTGATTTTATTTGTAAAAATTAAAAATACATGCAAGCAAAACACATATGTATTTGATGCTAACACATTGGAATGAATGCCTATGGTGAGGAAAATAGGAAAGAGAATGGAGATTATGAATAAATAAATAAAACAGGGAAAGGGTCTTGGTTGGACTAAGGATGAGAGTTTGCCATGAACTAAGGGTGATGCGGTTCCTTTAACCCGAGGCAACTAAGGTTAATGAAAAGACCCAAAAAGTTAGCTAATTTAGAAAAATAAATGGTGTGCATGTGTGTATATGTGCACGTGTACATTACAAACACAAACACCCACCCATGACCTCATGGAAATGTGTCACTAAAGGGTCCTAATGTACATATTCTGAGAGTATCTATACACAACTTATCTTGGTCTTTTCAAAGATGAGAAGAACCCCATCCATAATGGCAGGCCAGTAGACATGGGAAGCCTGATGCCACCCTCAAGGGGTGGCTCCAGGAATCCGTGGGAGACAGATTAACACAATGACAGACCAATGGACCAGGAGCCAGAAGACACAGGCACTTCCTGGGCAACATCCTCTCTTTTATGGGAAATCATTAAGTGGTTCTTCTTACCAGATCGTAAGTGGAGTATTCAAAACTCTACAGCCAGCAGTCACAAGGATTTTTCTACAAAGTCTTTTTAATTTCCTAAGAGAGTGTATTAAGACGTGATCAGACATTATCTATATAGGTTTCTCAGCCCTCGGCTTCTGAGGTTTCTATTTGTTTCAAAAGCCTGGGAGCAAAGCTCTCCCGAGCCCTCAATGAGAAGGGGCAGAAAGAGAAACCAGTCAAGTTTTGTACACCAGCCTGTTCACTGCTTCCCTGGGGGTCAGTGTAAACTGACTCCCTCCTTTATTTCAGGGGTGATTGGCAGTGATGACATCCAAGAACCGCTACACTTTCCCTCAATTTGTATGATGAAAGGTGGTGTCCTCGCGTCTCAAATGGAAATAATCCAATGCAGTCAGCATGCATAATTTATCATGACAGAGGACAAGATAGAAACATTCTGCTAACATGCCCTGCCTTTATCTCCTCCCTTTTCTGATACACGCTGGGAATCCCTGGGGAATCAGAGGCTATTCCTCATGGCATACGCTCTCCTGGTAGCAATTTATCAAGTTCATCTTTGTCACAGATGCAGGAATGACTGCCATCTGACAAACGGACCGCAGGGGCAGGATGTTCCAAGACTTTCCTAGCAAAACCTCGCGATTCAGTGCCTGTGTGACTTTGGACAAGCTACTTAACATCTTTAAATGTCCATTTACTCTAAGAAAAATATGGACATAGTTCTAAGCAAAGAGTTGCTGTGAAAGCCACTAGAGCACTTAGAGGGTGAGTCAAGCAGGCCACAGGATCTCTGGAAACCCTTGATTCTGAGCCACCTGCAGCCTGAACTTCCCCAGGTAACACCACTCACTCTGGACTAGTGGGGAAATTGCATTTCCTTGGCATATGAGAACATAAATCCACTCGAATGCAATAGTTATAACCTTTGTATTGTGCAGCCGCCTTTCAAATAGAGGCACCATATCAGGTATCACCATCTTTATATTAGACTAAAATCATGTTAACATCAATATTATATATACAAATGCAGCTACAATGTTTGCTCTTTTTTTTGTACCTTAAAATTTATCTAAAATCACAGCTCATTTTTGTGTTCTTTTATTTATTAAATATTCCTGTTAGTATTACTAGGAAGTTGTAAAGCACACACCCAGAATTCTTTTATGACCTACTGAACAATACTTGAGAATATTTTTGATTATTCAC